TTTTTTAATTTCCGGAAATAGTTTTGCCAATTATTCTTGATGATTTTCAACTTCTTTAGAATTCCTTTGAGAAAAATAAGAAAATATTATTTTTTCAAGGTAACATTGCAAAAAAAAACTCTCAATAATATCTGTATATTTTAGAGGAGGGGCATATAAAATTGAAAATAAAAACTAATCAAGAAATGTGCGAAAAGAAAAAATAAAATATAAATGTCAACGATAAGAAATTGGATTTCTTAAAACAATTTATGTGGTTCTGCGAATACTCAAGGATTTTTTAATGCAAAAACAAAAAAAAAAAAAAAAAAAAACATAAAACAATCTTAACTATGAATGAAATCTATAATAAATAAAAAAGTATATATAAATTTAAAACCACAACATAATTAGCAATTATTATGGCATAAAGCCAAATTCACGCACGCCATCTATGTGTCATAATTTATGCAATTTTATTTTATTAATAATGTCCCACATTTGCGTTATACGTTAATTTATTTTGTTTTTCTAATCAAAATACTTTCAAAATACAAATCATCATTTAATTAAGACAAAAAAATATTACGTTCTATTTATGATGGTGGCCAATACAAATTACCTTTCACATTCCGTTTTAAGCAACACAAAATAAAATTAAGTTAAATAAATTTATTAATTGGACTTTGCATATGTTCATATACATATATGTATATTTATTAAACGTCAGAATTCTGTAGAAAAATATGCACATTTTTATTAATTATATGTTCTTTGTTTTTCTTTCGGCGACAATTAACAAAAAGGGTACACGCGTTTTAAAAATGAAACAGGTGTATGGGCTCATTCTAGGGATTTCCAATGAGTGTTTTGTTGTTGTAGATATTTTTATTGTTATTTATGATTGATAGTGAGCAATAATGGCAAATGCAATATGTTTTTTGTTTTATTATTCTTAAGAAATTTTATTAATCATTGATATAGAAATGCTAATTATAAAAGAAAATAATTTCATTAAAAAAGAACAAAGTGTTTTATTTTAAAAGAGCGATTTTTAGTATTTTCAATATTGACCCATAAGACCCACAGTTCTTCATTTTAGTGGTTCGGTCTTAAGGAGGAAAATATTCTCCACTGAATTCCACCCGAGGTTTCTGAATAAATGAAATCTCTATCTACAATATATATCAATGTAATATCGGTTCGAATTTCGGGTATATAAGTAAAAAAAAAAATATTTTCATTTAAATGACAATTTTTTATTTCTTTTAAATATGGATCCATAAACCCCACAATACTTCATTTTAGAAGATTGGTATTGAGGAGAAAAATATTCTTCATTAAATTTCAGAATAAGTCATCGAATACGAGAAAATCGTATCTTAAATATGATTCAATGAAATAGAGGTTCAAAAACTAAGAATATATACAAAAATGGTATTTTGATTTTAAATGACAGATTTTAATTTGCTTTGGAATACTACAACTACCTCTATACTTCATTTTAAGGTGTTCTTTTTAAGGGAAAAATATTCTTCGTCGAATTTCAGTATAAGACTCTGAGCAAAAGAAATCGGTAACTATAACATATACCAAAGACACATCGATTCGAAATTCGGGTATATAAATAACAGAGATGAATTTATTTTAAAGGGTAGTTTCTACTTTTCTTGGTTACTGGTCCATTAACCTCCACAATACTTCATTTTAGAAGGTCGGTATTGAGGAGGAAAATATACTTCATCGAATTTCGGAACAAGTCTCCGAACACGTGAAATTCGTATCTCAAATAAATTTCAATGAAATATAGGTTAAAAATGAGAATATATACAAATATATTTTAAATAACAGATTTCCATTTCTTATGGAATATTAACTCTGAACGTCCTCTATACTTCGTTGTAGAGGGTTTTCGTAAAGAAGAAAAATATTCTTCATCGAATTTCTGAATAAGTCTCCGAACACGATTCGTATCTCAAATATATTTCGATGAAATTTAGGTTCAAAAATAAGAATATCCACAAAAATGTATGTTTTGAATTCTAAATGCCAGATTTTTACCAAAAGCTTTAAAATAAGGACACTAATTATCCTCTATACTTCATTTTAGTGGGTTCTTGTTAAAGAGAAAAATATTCTTCATCGAATTCCATCATAAGTCACCGAACAAAAGAAATCGGAAGCTATAATATTTATGAATGAAATATCGGTTTGAAATTCGGATAAATAAATAGAAATTAGGTTAAATGTGTAGTTTTTAACTTTCTTAAGTATTGGCGGATAATCCCATAATAGTGTTAATGGTGAAAATATTATTCATCGAATTTCCGAATAAGTATCCGACCACGAGAAATTCGTATCTCAAATACATTTTAAGGAAAAATGGGTTCAAAAACTGAGAATATACACAAAAAATCGTATTTTGATTTTAAATGACAGACTACCGACAACTTTGAAATATGGACTCTAATCACGCTCTAAACTTCATTTTAGGAGGTTCTTGCTAAAGAGAAAAATATTCTTCACCGAATTCCATTATAAGACTCCGAGCAAAGGAAATCCGTAGCTAATTTATACCAAAGAAATATCGATTCAAAATTCTTGTAATTAAATAAGTAGTAAAATATTTGATTTTAAAGAGCGATTTTTAGTATTTTCAATATTGACCCATAAGACCCATAATTCTTCATTTTAGCGGTTTGGTGTTAGAGAGAAAAATATTCGTTATCGAATTCCACTATAAGATTTCGAACAAAAGAAATCCGCATCTATAATTCTTACCAAAAAAAATATAGCTTTGAAAATAAGTTATTTAAATTAAAAAATGTATTTTATTTTAAAAGAGCGATTTTATAGTATTTTCAATATTGACCCATAAGATCCATAATTCGTCATTTTAGCGAGTTGGTGTTAGGGAGAAAATTATTCTTCATCGAATTCCACTATAAGACTTCGAACAAAAGAAATCCACAGCTTTAATTTATACCAAAGAAATTTCGCTTCGAAAATAGTGTATTTAAATTAAAAATGTATTTTATTTTTAAAGAACGTTTTTTTAGTATATTCAATTGTGACCCATAAGATCCATAATTCATTATTTTAGCGGCTTGGTGTTAAGGAGAAAAATAGTCTGCATCGAATTTCACTATAAGACTTCGAACAAAAGAAATCCGCAGCTATAATTTTTACCAGAGAAATGTCGCTTTGAAAAATAGGGTATTTAAATTAAAAAAATAATTTATTTTAAAAGAGCGATTTTGAGTATTTTCAAACTAGGCTCATAATACCCCCAACACTTCATTTTAGGGATTCGGTCCTAGGGAGGAAAATAATCTCCACTGAATTCCACCCTAGGTCTTTGAATAAACGAATTCTCTATCTACAATATATATCAACAAAATATGGGTTCGAAATTCGGGTATATAAATAATTTTTTTTTTTTTTTGATTTTAAAAGAACAGTTTTTACCTTTCTTGAGTATTGGCGTATAAAACCATAATAGTTAGTATTATGCGATAGGTGTTAATGGTGAAAATGTTCTGCATCGAATTTCATTATAGGGCCTCAAGCAAAAGAAATCCGCAGCTACAATGTTTAACAAAAAAAATTCGCTTTGAAAATATGACATTTAAAATAAAAATTTTATTTTAAAAGTGCGATTTTGAATATTTCCAATATTGACCCATAAGACTCATAATACTTAATTTTAGAAGTTCGTTCCTAAGGAGAAAAATATTCTCCACTGAATTTCACCCTAACTCACCGAACAAAAGAAATCCGTAGCTATAATATATATCATATAAATATGGCTTCAAAATTTGGATATATATTTGCATAATTAAATGTTATATTATTTTGTCTATTCGAAGTTGGGTTCGGATCGGCCCCTATACTTCATTTTAGGACCATGGTACTAATGGAAAAAATATTCCCCATCGAATTTCACTATAGGTCGCCAGACAATATATAACTGTATATAGATTACGTATGAAAACGTGTTCACAATTTACACAACAGATTCCTGATATTTAAATTATCTTCCACAAAAGGACCCCAAAAATTATTGTTTCTATAATAATTGCCTAAGTTCTTATTTATTGTATCACTTTTCCATTACCGCACCCCTTGTTCCTCCTAATATCTGATTAGAATATCTTACATTTGAATGTGTTAATAATTTGGCCTTAAACTACATTTCACATAATAATTACAATAATAATCATACCTGACAAAATCGGTTATACAAACAAGGCATAAATAAGGTCCCGGGGAAGAATGGTATTAGCAAATGTATGATTTGCTAATATTTGTTGGTGTTTTATTTTTGTTGTTGTTGTTATTATTTATTATCATATACATTTCATTCATAATCTTATATTATAATATGATTATGTGTGTGTCGGTGTGTGTATAATGGCGAGACAAGGCAAAAGGTGCAGTCGGAATTGTGTAAGCAGATTTTGTAATAAACAAAAGACCTTATTATGATAGACAAGGCAACAAAAGAACACTCACACACACATAGATACATTTAAGTACACTAAAAACATTGCAGATTTTGTTTTTCTTTTTGGCTTATAATAACTGAAATCGAAAACTGTAATATAAATATAAACAAATTATATACAAAATGCAATTTATTGTTGAATTTTAAATTTAATGATTTTTACATTTAACCTTGTACTATGTGTGTGTGTATAACACAACACAAACAATAAATAATAATTATTATGATATATTTTTCTTTATGGAAATTCCAGGAAAAATATTATTTTTTTGAATATAAATTTTAATTGTTATGATTCATTTACATATTTCATTATTTATTTTAAAATATAAATATACTACAAAAGACAATGTGTTAACAAATATGTTTGCCAATTAAAATGCATAAAATATGTGGCAATGTAATGAAAACAAATTTGTCACCTTTATTGTTGTTGTTATTGTTTTTCCTGTCATTTGCACTGACAATTCACATGTCATATTCATCATCTTCTTCTCTCTTCGTCTCGTTACAGCTCTCACAGTACGCTATTTGACGGGTCGGTTTATAGGCGAATATCGTTCAAATACCGATTTGTTATACAATAAGACCATAACATTGGAAACGGGTCTGACGGAAGTGGAAATTGTTGATGTATATGCCGGAAGTGTTGATGGTGATGAACAAAATGAATTTCCCATGGAACAGGTAAGAGAGACAACATACACAACAATAACAAAAAATACAATATATAAATTTTACACCTACATACATACATAGGTAACATCTTCTTTGTGGGTGAGGATATTTTTTATTTCAATTAAAAAAAACATGCATGTTTTTTGATTGAATTACACACAAACATAGTTCGTATGAATTGTTTACAATCACCGCATATTTTTTTCTCAATATTGTTTTCTGTCAATCTGTAAGGTTTTCGACATTGAAATTTGTTTTGGTAGAAAACGAACGGTCAAACAAAGCGAAAAAAAATCGGAAATATTTTTTTGGTTCGGCAAAAATTGCAAATTCCTTTTAGTTCAATGAACCTTGATTTTTTTCTCAATTTCAATTTTAAAAGCTTTATTTGAACTTGTAAATTGAAAATGTTTTTTCGAATTAAAAAGCAATGGGTGGTCTAATTGGAATGATAAGAATTTTAATTATGTTAATAAACTTAAATTTGTATTTGTTTACAAAAAGGGAGCAAAATACCCCCAACACTTAATTTTAGGGGGTTGGTGTTAAGGGGTGAAATATTCTACATCGAATTTCACTATTAGTCTCCGAATAAAACAAATTTGTAGCTACTGTAGATTCAACGAAATATCGATCAGAATTTTTGATATTTAAAAAATATTTTAAATTTTTGAGTTATTTTAAAGAATGGGTTCAAAAAGGCCATAAGATTACATTTTAGGGATAAGGTATTAATAGAAAAAATATTCTTGAGAAAAATTCACTATACTCCTCCGAACAAGAGATATCGATAGATAGGATATATACCAATCAAATATAGCTTCGAAATTAAGATATATAGAAAAATGTTTTTACAATGATTAATAATTGAATTTTCCCAATATTGCAACATAATACCCAAAGTTCTTCATTTCAGGCCGTAGTTTTTAAGGGGGCAAAAATATTCTACATCAAATTTCACTATTAGTCTCCGAATAAAAGAAATTTGTAGCTGTAGTAGATTCAAAGAAATATCGATCAGAATTTTGGATGTAAAAAAAAAAATAAAAATATTTAAAAATGTTTGAGTTTGGGTTCAAAAAAACTATAAGATTACATTTTATAAATAAGGTATTAATGGAAAAATATTCTTCAGGAAATTTCACTATAGGCCTTTGAACTAAAGAAATCGGTAGATAGGATAGATAGATAGGATATATACCAATCAAATATCGCTTCGATAATAAGATATATAGATATTGCACCATAATGTCCACAATACTTCATTTTAGGGGGTTGGTGTCAAGGGGGAGAATATTCTACATCGAATTCCAATATTAGTCTCCGAACAAATGATATCTGTAGCTATAGTAGATTCAGCGAAATATCGGACCGAATTATTGATATATACATATATACAAATATTTTAGATTTTTTGAGTTATTTTAAAGATGGGACGAAAAATCCCACAAGACTAAATTTTACGCATAAGGTAGTAATGAAAAAATATTCTCTAGAAAATGTCAATTTTTTTACAAATGCCAGAAATCTATGCCAATCAAAATCGCTTCGAAATTAGGATATATAAAAAAATATTAAAATTAGCAAAAATTTGATATATAAATCAGGAAAATATTTTTGGTTTTACAAAGACTAATATTTGCAACAATTCCTAAACTGGGTCAAAATATACTGAAAAAAGTGGTATATGATGCCAAATTAAAATTATTCTTCATTGAATTTCACGGTATCCAATACAAAATATAATACAGTTTAAAAAAATATCGGTTTAAATTTCGGATATTAAAAAAAAAAAAAAACTATGTTTTTTAACGACCTTTTTTGTATTAACATGAATTTGAGGTCAAAATACCCACAATACTAAATTTTAAGGGAAAGGTACCAATGGAAAAAAGATTCCTGATTGAATTTCACTATAAGACTTCGAACAAAAGAAATAGGTAGCTATAATACAGTTCAAAGAAATATCGGTTAAAAATTCGCATATTAAATAAAAAGAAACTATGTTTTTCTTTAAGTACAATTTTTGTATTAATAATTTGAGTTTCTGGTCAAAATACCCACAATACTAAATTTTAGGGGGAAGGTACCAAGGGAAAAAAGATTCCTGATCGAATTTCACTATAGGTTTCCGAACAAAAGAAATCGGTAGCTATAATACAGTTCAAAGAAATATAGGTTAATTCGCCTATTTAATAGAAAGAAACTATGTTTTCTTTAAGTACAATTTTTGTATTAATTTGAGTTAGAGGTCAGAATATCCACAATACTACATTTTAGGGGGAAATTGCCAATGGAAAAAATATTCCTGATCGAAATTCACTGTATGTCTTCGAACAAAAGAAATCGATAGATATAATACAGTTCAATGGAATATCGGTTAGAAATTCGGATATTAAATAAAAAGTAACTATGTTTTTCTTTAAGTACAATTTTTTTTTATTAATTTGAGTTTGAGGTAGGTACCAATGGAAAAAAGATTCCTGATCGAATTTCACTATAATTATCCGAACAAAAGAAATCGGTAGACAGAATATTTATCAATGAAATATCGGTTCAAAATTTGGATATATTTTTTTTTTTCAATTTTAAGAGACCAAGATTTGCAATTATTCCAAAAGGGGTTCAAAATCGGCGCAATATTACATTTTAGGGTAATGGTATAAAGGAGGAAAATATTCTTCACCGAATTCCATTATGAGTCTCCGAACAAAGGAAATCTGTAACAATAATATTTCATATCGAAAAAAGTAATTATATAAAATAATGAAAATTTCGGGAATAATTATTGATTCAAATATAGGATCAAAGTACCACAATACTTCATTTTAGGTGAATAATATCAATAGAGAATATATTCTTAATCGAATTTTACTATGGATTTTCAAACGAACCAAATCCATAGCTATCATACATTTTCAACAAATATCATGTACAAAATTTAAGGGCTAAGCAGAATGCTCGCGTTGGGCCATCCGTCGCGTTATATGTTATCGAAAATACAACAACCACAAGGAAACGAAAACACAAACGCATATCGTTTCCTTGTGGTTGTTGTATTTTCGATAACATATAACGCGACGGATGGCTCAACGCGAGCATTCTGCTTGGCCCTTTAATTTTCAAAATTATTTTATTTCCTATCAAGCAAAATTTATTTTCTTGCAAACACCCTGCACCAAAAAAAAAATTTGAAAAATTTTCTTCACTACAAATCACATTATTTTGAATGAATTTCTAATATATCAAAAATGCTATGCATTAATTTTAATTTTAATATTTTCATTTAGAAATTTCAACACAATACAAATATTTACTGTTATGGTCGCAAGCGCAATTTGCATATAACCACAAAAACCCCATTTATTGGATTTTTATTGCTCATTGCAATTTGAACAACAAATTTTCAAAAAAATAATGTTTTAAAACATTAATGGATATTTCTTTGGTTTAGAGGCACACGAAAAGGAACATCAATCTGTCTTCTAAATACATATATAGAAAAAACGACATACATAGAAAACATACATATGAATACCATTTCAAATAGAAGGCATGTTAGGAATTCGAAAAAAAAACATTTATTAGCTTGTCCATTTTCCAAAAAGTAAATGAAATAACAACAACTAAAAATTAAAATAAAACAAACAAGACAGCCAACAAATAATTAATTTGGCAAATTAATGTTGTTGAACAAGTGTTGGGAAGGGGGTAAAGTCCATTTTGCGGGGTGAGGGGGAAATGGAAAATAATGTTCTTTGGCTTTAATAAAAATTGATAATGACATTGCCATTGGTGTTATTGTATGGAATGTGTGTGAGTGTTTGTGTTTTTTGTGAAATGTGAAATGTTGAGTGCGGATTTTAAAACACAATGTTTTGAATTTATTTTTCTGTCCATTGGAAATTTACCAAAAATATGTGTTAAAAATATTAAAATTAATGAAACTATGTTTTGTTAATATTCTTAATTACAATGTATTTTAATATTGCTGTGAAAATATTGAAATGACAAAATGCAAATATTAATGGGTTAGATAAATTTCTATAAATAAGACTAAGAATAAAAATAAATAATTATTTTTAAAATAAATATTTTTCTGATTTTTAATAATTATTGAAAATTTATTTTTTAATATCAAAAGTGAATGCAGTATTTTATAATTTTTTTAAATACCCACTATATTAACTTTTTTAAATATTATTATTTAAATATTATTATGACTTCAATAAATTTCCATAAATAAAACTAAGAATAAAAATAAATAATTATTATTAATATATTTTTTGAAAATATTGATTTTTAATAATTTTTGAAAATTTATTTTTAATATCAAAAGTGAATGCAGTAATTTTTAAATACCCAATTTATTAATTTTTTTAAATATTATTATTATTATTATTTTTTTTTTTTGATATTTTATTATAATTTTATTTTTTTAATATTTATTTAATATTGTTTTTCGATATTTTGAAGTCTTTCCAAATTGTTTTCTTTTTTTAAGGGCCCAAAAAAATATTTTTGCTTTATTTTTTACAAAGGATTTTTTGTACTTAGGATCAACAAATAAAATTGATATGGGCTTCTTTGATCTGGCCATGTTTTCAAATATTTCCAATATATGTTTATAACAGCAATTATAAAAATGAAATATTATTTATCATACTTTATTCCATAATTTCAAAATTTCCCAAGAAAAATCCGCAAAAGAATTAGAACTCTATAGATTACATGAATTTTAAAAAACCCCAATCAAAACAAACAAAAAAAGTAAGGCGAAAAAATTACCAGATGGCCCACAACTAAATTCCACACTCCCAAAACCATAAAAACAACAACAACAATTAAAAAACTATGCAATTTTTCAAAATTCTATAAAATTTTAATTTATTAATATTATCATTCCTTTTGTAAAACCAAACAATTCTAAACAACAAAATTTTGTATAGTTCTCTTAATTTTTTTATTTCAAATTTTCTCTAATTTATTATTGCTTCTTCTTCTTCTTTACAGGTTCTTTGGGCCGATGCCTGCATGATCGTTTACAATATCACACAACGTAGCAGTTTTGAATATGCGGCCAAATGTCTGGCCGAATTCAAAGCACTACAGAATGCACCCACAGCATATTTGGTGGGGAACAAAGCCGATTTGGATCATTTAAGAGAGGTAAGCTAAAAAATCAACAAAAACAACAACTACTACAACAACTAAAACACTTTAAATATCAATTTTGTTCAAGTGGAATCTGTTTGATTTGTTTGCTTTCCCGATATTTTAAAAATAGCTAAAAAGGGGACAAGCATGTTTTTATTCGATGTTTGTTCTTCAGAGGGGGATTAGTTGGGGGGGACCTGTTAACAAATTAACGCCACGATTCAAAAACAACAACAAAAAAATGGAAATGCATGAAATTAATTTTTCTTGTCTTGTCATAGGTCAGCAGTTGTGCTACAAGTGTAGTAGGGGCCCTTTGGGAAGATTTATTGTGATAGGTAAAGATTAAAAAAAGACAAAGGTCTTTCCCCACCCCCAACCCCACAACTTTCCCGAAAAAGAAAGAGAAAAATTAATGTGTTTCCATTACGAAATCTTTGATGATTTTTGGGGGAATTAGACAAATTTGGGTCATAATGTTAGGACTACAACAAAGAAAACATCCAAAAAGTAGTGACTAATTAGAAATGCATGTGGGAAATGACTTTTGAAGTGTGAAGGGATATTTTTTTGGGGGGTGTTAATTTCCAAACAATTAAATCTTGTTTTGAGATTAATATATCTATCATTCCCAGCGGGATTTTGGATTATGGAAAACATGTAATGATGCAATTTGGAGAGTGCAATGAAAAATAATGCGGGATATCCCATTGGGATTGCATTGTTTTGAAAACAAATGCAATGCACCCTAGTAAATATTACCCAAACGTGTAAAGAAAATATTAATTATTTTTTGAGATGATGTTTTAACAAATAAATATTTTCAAGTGGTATCCCCGAAATATTTTCTTTTATAATTTTTATTTTACATGGTTGTGAAATGGAAAAAAATGAACTCAATTTTTCAGAAAATCGTAAATTCATAAAGTGATTTATAAAATAATAAAATAAATTGTTTTGAAAATATTTGTTTTAATAAATTTTATTTCACAAAGTTGTGAAATGATAGCAACTAATTTTTCAAAACATGCAGTTGCATATAATAATTTGTAAAATAAACAATAGTATCCAAAATATTATTAAAATTATTAATGGATTCTTAGAATGTAAAAACATAGGGAGCACCACAGATATGGACTACCTATCGTGATGGATTTTTTTTTTATTTTAAATAATGCAATGCACTTTGTTTTGAGAATTACAAAAATGTGTAAAGACAAAATTTATTTTATTTGAAAAATTCTAAAATTACTGTACTGCATTTTTGAAAATTTTTCGAAAATTTTCATTTTATGAATCATTACTAATTATTTTCTTTTAGAAATTTTATTATAAAAGTAGTGAATAATAATTTTTGAAAAGTGGCGTATACATATTGTCAGCACGTATACGTAACATAGGTCTAAAGTCAATCCCTATATCGCCTAAAATTAAAAAATACCATACTTTAAATACCGGGCATATATGTGCTGGCATTTTTATTCAATATCTCCTGTAATAACGAATTTAGAGAAGGAAAGAAATTAAGAGATGTATTTATGTATTTCCTTTAACATTTTTTTATTATTATTTACAAAACGAAAAAAAAATAAAAAAATAAATCTCTTATTCACATCATGCGTATACGTGTTGACATTATGTATACGTGCTGACAATTATTTGCTAATATCACCCACGCATTTATTTTGGTATTTACATTGAATGAAACCTATTCTCAATAAAAAAGTCAACAAATAAATTAAATTTATGCAATACAATTGAATTAAATAATTCAAAGAAATACTCATAGTATTCCATATGCCAAATGATGCCAAAAACTCTCATATAGAAACATTTTTCCATGGTGTACATAAAGAAAAAACTATTCCTCATGAAATTTCAATATAAGTCTTCTCAGACTCTATGTTTTACCTATATCGCCTAAAATTAAGAAAAACAAAAAAACAGACTATTTTATGTATATAGTGCGTATAAGTGCTGACATTATGTATACGCATAATAGTATTTGATCAATATGTCCTGTTATATCGAATTTAGAGAAGTGGTAAGAAAAAGAAAATATTCTGCATAAATTTCTCTATTAGTCCCCGAACAAACCAAATCGTAGGTCTGAAATTAAATGAGGAAATGAGGCTAACAATAGGAATAGGAACAAATAGAAAAAATAAACTATTTAAAACTTTTGAGTGCATCTATGTTGTGTCAAAATCTTTCATAACCAAATTAAGAAATTCGAAGTTTCAAATTATGTCAAAAACTCCCATACCAGAACATTTTTCAATGGTGTACATAAAGAAAAATATATTCTCCATGAAATTTCACTCTAAGTCTTCTCCGACTGCAACTTTCTATGTCTTATCTATATTGCCTCAAATTAAGAAACAAAAAATATCCTATTTTAAGTATACAGTGCGTATAAGTGCTGACATTATGTATACGCATATCAGTATTTAGTCAATATCTCATGTAATATCGAATTTAGAGAAGTTGCACAAAGAAAGAAAATATTCTACATGAAATTTCACTATTAGTCATTGAACAAAGCAAATCGGTAGATCTGAAATTAGTTAAGGAAACGGGGCTAGAAATACAGGAACATAAAGAAAAACTAAAATATTTACTACTTTTGAGTGCTTCTAAGTTCTGTAAAAAATCTCCCATAATATCGCATTTTAGAGGGTAGTACCGAAAGACAATAATGTTCGCCATCAAATTTCTCTATAAATTGTCAAGGATTATTAAATTCTAAATACCACCAATATCTGTTAAAATTTAGAAATACAGAAAAAAATAATTTTTTATTAATACGTATAACAATATTTTGCCAATATCTCCTGTAATACTGCGTTTTGAAGTTGGATACAAAGAACGAAAATATTCTCCATCAAATTTCCATAAAGGAAGCTGAAAAATTTTGTATTTATAATATTAATATAAGTAATCCAGGTTATACTTTTCTGGAACTGAAACCAAAATATTAAATATCTTGTAATATCTTGGAAACTTTCGAATCTTCTCGAAATCTACCATAATTATTTATTTTCGAGAAATGGAGCTAAAGAAAATAATGTTTCCCATTAAATTTCACCATAAGTCTTTGACGACAATATGTTTCTATTTACTACTCATACTGGCTAAAATTGGGAAAAGCTGTAAAATTCATGACAAAACTAGGCACAAAATTTATAATATTAATATAAGTAATCCAGGTTATACTTTTCTGGAACTGAAACCAAAATATTAAATATCTTGTAATATTTTGGAAACTTTCGAATCTTCTCGAAATCTACCATAATTATTTATTTTCGAGAAATGGAGCTAAAGAAAATAATGTTTCCCATTAAATTTCACCATAAGTCTTTGACGACAATATGTTTCTATTTACTACTCATACTGGCTAAAATTGGGAAAAGCTGTAAAATTCATGACAAAACTAGGCACAAAATAATTGTTCATTTTGAAGACATTCCGATCCAAGCTCATATCCCACTATATTTTTTTTATATTTTACAGATTTGACATCAATGACAAATGGATTTTTCATAAAATTATCCAGTGAGATTTTCATTTCATACAGGAAATACTAATGAGAATTTTTAAATCCATTGTTTAAAATTTTGTGGGTGTTATTGATATGAGTCAAAATCTGAAATATTATTAAATTTAGAAGGATGGAGTCAAAGGAAAAAATATTCTTCATAAAATTTCACTATATGTTACCACACAAAAGAAATTTGTAACTATAATATATATCAGCGAATTTTGGGCAATACTTTAGGAATACGTTTTGAACCTATATTGCGTATACGTGTGGTCAGTATGTATACGCTAATCGTACCATTTAATACAATTTGTATAAATTGTATTATTTTGAACTCTTCTAGGTGCATATATTAAAAATCATTATCTAAAATAATGGCCCTTTCCTTAAAAATATACTATAAAATGTATAATGACTAAAATTGCATAGAAATTTGATGGATAATATTTAATCAATGTACAATAACTATAATGATTAAAAACAATTCTTTTTTTTATTTTTTACAATGCCATTATACAAACTTAGCTTTTTTATATAATCAGCTTTTTTAATATCATATTTTCATCAACCATAATTCCCACTTTAGCTCACAGAAGTAGTTTTTAGTTGCAGTATTATGTATATAATTTATCTTTCAAATTCCTCATCCTTTCCAACAAAAAACCTCATAAATATATGAAAAATCCTTAATGATAGAAGGTGTACGTACATAATGTCAATATGTATACCCCGATACTACATGGTGTATACATAATATCAACATGTATACGCCTTCCTTTCATGGCGTATATGTGTTGGTGTCAAGTATACGCCAACTGGTATTTAAAAGGCAAATTAAATATATAATAGCAAAACAAAATGGGAATTTAAATACGAAGCAATTTGTATATACGAGTGCATGCCAAATTGAAATAAAATTTAATTCGCATAAATGGTATGTAAATATTTTATTAAATTTCCGCAATATTATGTTCTCAAAATTCATGTAGGAGTTAAATATTTTCGAGTGAATATGCTAAATACTATTTAATGTTAACGAAGAGGAATAGACGAAATTGAAGAAGAAAAAAAGGGGATTAAATTTAAAAAATGGAAGGAAAAGTTAGAAAAAAATTAAGTTTTTGGTATAAAGAAATCAAATCTGAACTCTGAAGTCAGCTACTAAACGTACAGCATTAGATAAGTTTGAATTTTGAGAAATAAACAAATTGGTTGCACTTCAATTTAACGATATTTAATTTAATGAATTTTTTAAGCGTGGATATTATAAAGAATAAAATACATACATGGGTGCGTATACATATTGACACCATGTATACGCACTGATGGTCTCGAAGTGATTTTTCAACACGAAACTATAGCGAAATTCAAATGAATTAAGGAAAATTGTGGGCAACTGCAGACAAAAATTTGAAGATGAGACAATTATCTATCGTATGACCTTACGAAAATTGTAGAAATGGTAAAGAGCAAACTCATT